CCCTGGTGGACACGAGAGAGAATGCAGCTTTAACACATGAAGCTTTGACTTCACTTTAAAGAACAAAATGACATCCAGTTAGGAAAAGGTTTTGTTATGGAGCACTGTGAAACACCACGAGCTCCAACTCTTCACAGCAGAACACTGATGAAGACTATTTCTCTGAGACTTACCGCTCTGAACGAGGCGTCCAGAGGCCAGTGACCGAAGCAATGCTGGAGAAACAGGTAGAGCTTCTGCTGCACGAAACGCTGCACCACCACTCTGTAGACAAGAGCAACACCACACATGTTGTTAGGAGTCAGTTTAATAATGTGTGTATATACACAAATACACTTACTCTATAAGGGAAGGAGGAAGTCAAGAACGAGTAACGTCAACGTGAAGACAGGTAAAAGCTGCTCATTAGAGAAATGGACAAACAGTTCATTTAAATAGTTTATTAGTACTTTTAGCTCCGTCAGCACTAGAATGTAACTGCACCTTATGTCTGCCTGCCTTACAGTCGACCCTCGTTCCCCTGCATGTGTCTCTTATTGTTGTTCTGCTGTGTCGGACCGATTTATACATATTATATAATCTGCATGTTGTGTGCTTCTGCTCTGTATGTTTTCAGTACGTATGCATGTTTCTATGATCATAAGTATGCATCATGTCTCTGCTCTGCATGTTGTCTGATGAGCCTCTGTGTTGCATGTCTTCACAGTACTTCACCGTGTAGTATAAAGGAGTCCTGAATGATGCTCTACTCGTATTAATATCCTCTTATTTATTTCTGCAGCTTATGAACGGATGTTATTTTAACCTTGTATTCAGTTGACTCTAACATCTGTCCAGGTGTTACAGATGTAAACTAGCCTCTTTGCTAATAACTTTACAGTGATGTTGTGTTAACGTCCCTGTAAACAAACCAATAAACAGCTCATGAAATAGACAGTAACTGGAGGATGAAGCCGACCTCTTGAACTCCTCCAGCGGGCTGGTGTGAGTGTGTGAGTGGGCCGACGGTGAGGAGGAGGTCAGCGTCTCTGGCTTCAGGCTGTTGGAGAAGGCGTGCAGGTGTTTGACCAGGAGACGCACCACCAGGACGTGCTCCTCCGTCGGGCTGAAGGGCTCCTGAGGAGACAACAGGTCACATGGTGCTACAGAGAACCACCAGCAGCTCAAAGCAGCCAATCACAGCGCTACCCTCGGTCCAGAAGCAGCCAATCACAACGCAACCCTCGGTCCAGAAGCAGCCAATCACAACGCAACCCTCGGTCCAGAAGCAGCCAATCACAACGCAACCCTCGGTCCAGAAGCAGCCAATCACAGCGCAACCCTCGGTCCAGAAGCAGCCAATCACAGCGCAACCCTCGGTCCAGAAGCAGCCAATCACAACGCAACCCTCGGTCCAGAAGCAGCCAATCACAACGCAACCCTCGGTCCAGAAGCAGCCAATGAGAATCAGCGCATTGCTTTCTGTAGAGTTCAGAGGTCTCACGTCTATGAAGTGTCAGTTTGACGTTGCTGAGAGAGGAATGGTTCTGTCAGTGTGAACATCACTCTCACTGCTCTGCTGCGTATTTACCCGTTACAGTAATATACGATGAGATAATAATAATAATAATGTCTGGAACCAAGAACTTCCTTTGAATTGATCAAAACAATAATCATTTATTCTCTTCCTAAGTCTGTAAAAGTCTTTCAGTCGATATATAATTCAAAGACTTAACGCTGGACGTGGATGAACAGTATCATCTGATTTTTTATAATTTTTAAATGATCACTTCAAGACGACCGTGACTCATTAAAGTGTGAAAGGACCACATCACATTTTAATAAACGTCTGTTTGGGACCTCAGAGCTGCGTGAGCTGCAAACCACAAAGCTGCTTCATAACCTCTGAACATTAAAACAATATATCTGATCATGTCATGATGACTGGCCTGTAAATAGAGATGTAGTCGTATCGTCTGCGTTGAGCAATAGTGTCGATAGATAGAATCCCCCCCCCCCCACCACAGACTCCAGACTTAGTGTTAAAAACGTGCATTTAAAACAACAACAACATGCAGACTAACACACACTACACATATTCGATCACAAAGCTGCAGCATCACTGCTCCTGTGGAGGCATTCCTCTGACGGTCAGACTGAATGACGTCATACAGGAATCACAAGAGCGTTTAACGTAATAACATTAACTACTTTATCAACTGTGGGATTGAACCAAACTCGCTGCTTGTGGATCCGTATATGAAAAGATCGAGATGCACCGATCCGTCTTCTATATATGCCTATGTCTCTATATATATATATATATTTATATTTATATGTGTGAGTCGGCCTGACGTCAGATCTCCGTGTTGGTTCGGTGCATCCTTAAAGAAAAGAGACGAGAGCCCTCTTTCAACAGTCAGCCATGACACATATAGAGTCTTAATTAAGTAATTACTGACCTAAAGGTGGAGGAGAAGTAGAGATGATGAGGAGCTACTTCCACTTTACAAAGCTCCATTGTGTTTTATCATGTTTGGGTTATCGTGCATCTCAATTCATCAATGCTTCCTCAGACTAAACATCCATAATGTGAATAAGTTGATATATATGCACTCAGTCTGCAGCAGAGAAACACCTCCTGCTGTGAGCTGACGGAGGTAAAAGGTAACAGTACTTGGTAGGTGTGGAGGGCCCCAGAGCCTGGTGGGGCGAAGGGTTGGCTGGACATACTGAGGCGGTACTGAAGCAGGGCCAGCTGATCACCCGTTACCACCAGGAGGGAGAGGAGGATGAGGAGGAGGAGAGACGGCAACAAAAAGGTGGAGGAGGAGGAAACAGCAGCGTGGAGAGAAGGGAGGAGGAGAGAGGAAGGAAAGGTGGCAGGAGGAAGGTACACATGAGAACAGCAGAAAGAGGTGGCAGCAAAAGAAATATAAGAAGGAGACGGAAACCAGACGGAAACATTCAGGAGGAAGACAGGAAGTAGAGGAGAAGAAGGAGACAAAATGAGAGGTTGACTGTGGGAACACAACGTGATGAAGAGGATGAAGACTGCACACAGAGGGGTCACATGGGCTGAAGGATGGGAATCAATACCAACAATCAACAACACACATTTCACTGAGTCGACTGTGGATCATTGTGCTGACTAATGGAAACATCAACCAGGAAGTACATCCACATCTACACAAGAGTATGACCTCCAGTGTGGGGGTTTTACTCGACTGTATATATATCTATATCTGTAGATATATAGATACTGTCTATAGTGAAGATAGATTGTGTTTTGAATGGTTCCCATCCCCGAGGCTGAACATTATTAGCAGAGTGAACTCAGAACTGTAAGATGTAGTCTGAAGATGATACATGTGTGATCAGATGATGTGTTCTGTGGTCCGTTAAACTCATTCATGTTAAACAGATCATTTAGTAAATAGAAACATGACGAGTAAATCTTACAGCTTCAGTCCACTCCTCACAGACAGAACACAGTAACAGCACTACAGGGTCCAGAAACCTTCATGATGGCGTCTCACACACAGAACACACACATGCAACAGAGGTGAAGAGAAGCAGAAACACTTCTACAGGGAACACATGCAACGACTACATGCAGCAACTGAACTCATCAGATATATAAAAGGCATTTTAAAAACTTTTTTTTTTTT